AACATATACAAGCGACAGATGCCTTCACTAAAGTTCTATGGGGGCCAGTCCAATGACTTTGTCTAGGCCGGCGGTGGGGAACTCCGGCCCTCCAGTTGTGCTTCAGCTACAATCTCATAATGCCTCTGCCTTGAAGTTTCAGGACAGCTGGAGGGCCGGAGTTGCCCACCCCTGGTCTAGACTTACCACCCCTGATCTAGACTGACCACCCCTGATCTAGACTGACCACCCCTGATCTAGACTGACCACCCCTGATCTAGACTGATCACTGATTAGACAGCAACATTGTATCCTTTTCACAAGCTGAGAAGCTACAGCGGGAGAGATTTGTGTCAGACATTTGCGCACACAGCCAAGGTCTGCTCAGGCAACAAGATTTACATGATGGCGTCATCCCTTTGCTATATTCTAAGTCCACGAAGTAGATGGTGGCCATAGATGATGACTGAACAAAGATGGCGCCGTCCAAATCTGACGCTCGTTCGGCTTGAATAAAATGTTGTATTTATTAAACATGTATTGTGTTTTCAGAGGACATTTTGTGGTTTGGGTTTTATTATTCTGTCTGGATTATCTGGTTCTGTTGGGCTGGCGTCCCATCACTTCCTACGTCCTGGTGGTCACAATTGTGTTACTATGTTATTGATATCTCCGGGTGTCTCGCTTTGTTTCCTTTTGTTGTTGTTGCATTCCTAGGTGATATACCGAATACTATACACCTCATATTTCACAATGAAGAAGTCCTTCTTGTTTATTCCATTTTTTTTATTGATAATGTAAAACTGAGAAAAGAAACGGGTGCCTACGCCTAAAGGGCTTACTTTTATGTTAGCATTCGCCCCGTTGACTGTATCATAAAACGCAAACACGTTTCATGGTTTTGAAGGGTCCTCCTTCTTCATGGCTTGAACGAAGCCTGTACTGGACAGATATAATTATGGGGATGCTGAGGGTGTAATTAGTATGATCATTCCAGATGAATGGTCACTTCCTGGTTCAGAGGTGCTTCATTCAACAATACAAGCCCCCGATGAAGGGGGACCCTTTGAACCCCCTGTAGCAGGTTGGCTTTTTATGATACAAGAGTCTGAAGGGAACTAGATCTGGGCTTCATATATCTGCTATTGGTGCTCTTGCACATTCAGTCCCTACTCGAGCAAAGAGCCAACCTCCTTGGAGGGCTGATCATTCCCTTTACATTGCTTAAGCACTTACTGGTAACACCTACTGCTTGAAGAGATCCAGGACATAAGCCCCCCTTTTCACTTCAGAAGCCCCCACTTTCACATCAGAAGGCCCCATTCCTATCTGGAGCCCCCTTTCCCATGAAAGTCCCC